TACAACACAAACCTCCCACCATCCATCTCTCTTCAGGTGCTCGCTGGGTGAGTGTGGCCTGCAGATGCTGGAATGAAAGCTTGTAATCACTTGCCCCATTTTGGAGAGAAGGCCTTCAGTGGCCTCTGAAGGCCACCCCCGAACCCACATCTGTTCCCTGCTATTGGATACCTCCTACACTTCTACATCCTGACTCTGGGCACCCTGTTCCCAGCCAGTGTGGTGGACCTCTGTAGGTTGTGACTGCCTTCTGCAGACATCTCTGTCTTCTCATGCTCTACGAATGGGTGCAGCCCAGGCCTGATCACGCTGATGGCATCAGAAAGGGACATCTGGCACAGAGAAGGCTGTGGAGCTGTTGGAGTCCCTCATGGTGGGAACCAGGAGAGAAGAGTGAGGAGACAGAGACAGTGTCTAGCTCCTGGACCCAGCCACACCTAAAGCCCAGGCTTTTCGTAGGAATGGGCTACTAGCTTTGTTTTCTGTTTAGGACCTGAACTTCTTTCACTTGCCTTTCCAACCAACACTCAGGGATGGCATTCATTTTGGGGCTATTTTCTCAAAGAAAGAAACTGTTGTGTTGCCACTGTTGTTTTTAATCTCTTCGGGAGAGTTTCAAAAGCAAGAGAGCCATCACAGTGGGGATGCTATGTGGGGGGCCCCTTACCCTCCATACCTGGCTTGTGCTGTTCTAAAGTTACTTGAGCCAGTGACAAGCTAGCATCTCTCCTGGACTTCCAAGATTGCCTTTGGGCTGCTGAAGTGCCCACTGTGCTGAACACCAAAGGTCTGCTGCAGGCAAAGGGTTTCTTCACACACTGCTTCCCCACCCACCTTCCTCCGCAGGGCTGGAGCCACTGGGCAAGCCTCATCCTACTGTGATCCAGGCCTGCACCCTCCCCATGGGGTGCAGCCTCCACAGGCATGGGGCTGCCTGGGCCTGGCTCAGAGCTGTCCCTGAGCATCCCTGGGACTTGTGAGAGCTCCCTAGAGAGAGCTCTAGCCTTGAGGCTTGGAAAGCTTCAGAGCAAAGAGAGCACGAAACCCAGCATGAGATTTACTGTAAGCAACTGGAGATCTTAAGAAAGAAAATAAAGGGCTTGAAATCAAGGAGAAAAAAAGAAAACCTTTGCAAGGCTCTGCACACAGCCTGGGGTAAACAAACCTCAAAGGCCCGTGACTTGACTGTTCTTTGGAGTGGTTGGGCTGTGCTCGGCTGAGTCTGGATCTGCCCACAGCCTCCGTGCGGCTCTGTTCTACCTTAGGAACGGCCTACAACAGGAGTCAGTGGCTGGTGCGAGGGCTGCCCCGGGCCTCAAGAGGCAGCTTCTGCCAGGAGGGAGAGACCCTGCGCCATCTCTGTCACACTCAAACTCACAGTCACATGCTCAATCACCGCATGCTTCACACAATCTCAAACAAATCGCCAACACCTGCATCACCTCCCACCCAGTTGGACCATGTCACAGATCCTTCCTGCACACACTCTCATGCCCCAACACCACCAGAGACGCACACCTACACACACTGCATTCAGAACCAGCTGGGTGGGTCTTCCCGGCCCACCACTGACCTCAGGATCCTGTTATCTCTTTGGGCTCCCAGGACATGTTTCCAACCACTGTCTGAAGTGGTAACAGACCACACAAGAGTGACATCAAAGGGTTCTCTGGCACAGCTGACTCCGAACCCCAGAGCAGGAGAGCCATGGGCGATCATCCACTCAGAGGTTGCTGAGCAGCATTGGCAGAGCTGTGGCTCCTCCAGAGGAGTTTCTGGCCACGTCTGGGGATCCAGAGGCAGAGTAGAGGCAGGCGAGAGACCCTCGCATCCCCACCACCTCTGCACTGGTCAAGGTCATTTTGCTGCCTCTGATTTACATACCAAGCTTTGAAATAGGTTTCTGGAAAAACAAATCAGATTTATTTTCACTGCAAAGAAGTCTAGAGAGTACTAGCCCAACTCTGTCCTGCTAGAGACAAAGAACCTAAGTCCTAGGCTGGGTCAATCACAGAGCTTGTCAGCAGCCAAGCTGAGAAGGCAACCCAGGTGTCCTGATGCTACATCAAAGCTAACCATGCATGCTTTTGTGTGACCTGTCACCTCTGGGCTGCCCTGGATAGGCTAAATGGTGTTGCTCTGAGGTGACACTTGCACCTGCATGTCCAAATGTCCTTAAAGAAAGGCCTGCTAATCCCAGAGGCAGCAGGCAGGCAGGTGGGTTTTTCCAGGCCCAGGCCCAGGACTGTCATCATTGCCCAGGGGACCACAGTACAACTTCAGCCAAGCACAGCCCAGTAGAGAGACAAGGGGCCCAGGGACACACCACTGGAGTGCAATGCGATGGCATGTGAGGGAAGGGGACTCTCCCAGGGGCTCTGTTTTGGAGGGTGAGTCAGTGCCTTCACTTCAAGTGAAGTGAAGAGTTAGCCGAGTGCTAACATGCCGTGAGAAGCCCATCAGTGTGGCTCCCAGGGTCTGGGCAGCCCCAGGACTGCCTGGGCTGCTCTTATCCTCACTGTCATTCCTGTCTTCATCCCCAGGAAGACCTAGGTTGCTCTGGTTTCTGCAGCCCCCTGGGAGAGTGCACAATGGTCACGAGGGACCATAGATCTGAAGAAGGCCCCAGAGGCAGCCTATGGTGCTCTGATTCTCCCACTTCCTTGAACTCGAGAGCAGACAGAGGATGTCTCCTCAAGTTCACCCCTGGCCTTTACCTCAGCCAAAACGACATAACTGCTCAGGGGACACTGCTGCCCACGAAGTGCCTGCTAAGGGTCAACATGACCACAGAGGGTCCACAGTGTTTCAGGACATCCTTGTGGCTATGCTTACTGAGGAGTTTGCATGGCTTCCACCGGGTTATCCAGACAAACCAGAAGGTAGGAAAAGGCAGCAGCCTACGGCAGCGGCCACTACTTGAGGTGTGTGCTCAAGGAGGAGCCTTTTCGAGCACACCTGGGAGGCAGAAATCCACCCCCTGTGCCTGGGGAAAGGAGCTCCAGCCCAGGGGCTGATACCACGTGCACCTTCATCCAAGTTTGGTGTGTAAGCAGCAACACAGAAGAGCTGGCTGGGCCAGCTTTGCTCAGTGATAACCTGGCTGTTAACCCCTCAGTCCCTAAGCCATGGTGGCCACAGGGGCACCCCTCACTGGGTTGTAGTGGGGACTCAAGGGGCTGCTTGGGCCAAATGTGAAGGCAAAAGATGGAACCACGCTACAGGAAGCTTCACAAATGCTGGTGGCCATGTTCTCACTGCCCACGGGATGTCCCTCCATACTGGCCTGTAAGGAAAGGGGTAGGGAGACAAGCGGGAAGGACCAAGCCCGAGTCATGCGCCAGCACCACAACAGGCCTCTGTGTGGCCCCTCCTGTCCCAGGAGGCCTTGAGACACCTGCCTGCAGGGCCCAAGGAAGGTCCTCAGGGGCCCCGGGGAACCACTGGATTCTTGTCTGTGCATGTGTATCTGTGTGTGTCTGCGTGTCTCTGAGTACAGATGTGTGCGTCTGCATGTAGCTGTGTGCTTGTGTGTGTGTGTGTGTGTGTGTGTGTCTGCATGTAGCTGTGTGTGTGTGTTGGCAGGCCTGTGCTGTGACTCTAGCCCCATTAGCAGGAAGCTGTGCAGCCTGCAGACCCATCGATGCTGGGACAGCCTTCCCCACACTGATGGCACAGAGGAGCCTCTGCCTGGGCAGGGACACATAGCAGCACGTGTGTGTCCCAGTGACCCCTGCACCAGGCATTCACTCAAGCCTGCAAGCCAGGGACCCCTCACACAGATGGAGAAGCTGAGGCTGGCACCCCTAGGCCTGCCTTTCTGAGAGCATAACTGCCCTCAGCAAGGCCAAAAGACCCTTACACACCCTCCAACCTGGGGATTAACAAACCAGGCCTGGGGAGAAGGCAGTGCGGCTTATGGTCACCATGCACGTGAGCCTGTGCTGGGAATGAATCATATCATTATGGCAGGATTAGAAGAAAAATGCCATTACAGAGTGCTGTGCATACACCAATTTAATAAGGTCAGTAGCAGCAAGCAGCAGGCAGGCCAGTCCAGGAGGCCACAGAGCCCCTGCCATACCCTCCCATCAGCAGAGGCCCAGAAACAGCCAGCAACAGGCCTGGCAGGGCCCAACCAGGGAAGAGGAGCAAATATCTCCTTCTTCCAGGGCCTCCCTGACCTGCCCCTGTGTACCTCAAGCTGCTCAGAAACTCCCCTCTTCCTAGCCTGCTGAGAGGAGCTCCCAAATCTTTCCCCCAGAGCCATTCCAAAGTAAGAGTCACTCCAGGGCTCCAGGAACCTGGGATCCGCCTCTGCTTGGAAGGGAACTGGGGAATGGATTGTACTTTACACACCATTCATGTGCTATTAATCTGTTGCACTCCCTAGTGACATAATGCCCCAGTGACAAATATAGACGAGAAACCTAGACACCTCCAAGTTCGGAATGAGCTGTTTGGAGGACCTCTGCTCCAAGGCAGCCTCAGCAGCCACACTGATCAGAGTGCATAGAAGTGTGGGGGGTTCTCTGACATCAAGAGTCAAGCAGGGGACACTTAGGACCAGCAGCCTTCTCCTCGCCCTGACACCCTCCCCCCAGAGGCTGGCTCCTTGCAGGTGTTGTGTGCCTTGCCCTCCAGCAAGGCCCCTGCCCAGAGCACTGGGGCCCCAGGACCCCTGAGGTCTTAGCCTCAGCACGTGTAGCAGGGGAATAAGTACATGTGCCTTCGCTGAGTGGGGGAGGTGCTTCCCGAGTTGTCCCCACATATGTTGGGAGACCCAGGAGAAGGAAACCCTGGACTGGGGTACCCATGGCTCATCACTGCTGTCACTCCCCACCAGTACACTGTCCCCTCCTCCTCTGCCACCACCTCATGCATCCTTTCAGCAACATCCCCTGAGCTTTCACTATGGTCAGCCACTGCAGAGGGTCTAGGAGGTGTCAGGAAAGGAGACAGACACCCCCAGCCCAGAAGTTGAAGAGGAAGATACTCACAGCTCCGAGGACCTGGAAAGGATGGCAGACAGGGTAAGAAGGATGCATCCGTAGGGGCCCACTTCGAACTGCAAGAGGAGAAAGGAGTGAGGGACACTTCCTTCCACTCAGCCGCAACCTCTGCTGGGGCCCACACCCAGGCGGTATCTCCAGTCCTCCAGCCTGGCCCTGGGCATCACCCAGTGGCCACAGGGAAGATCTTATGCAGATCACATAGCCAGACCCCCTAAAGGACACCAGCCTGAGTGACAGTGGGCATGGAACAGAGCATATACTACAACATGGAAGATGTCCATGACCTTGGTGTCCTCCAGATTGGCAAGACCTCAGTAGTCACAGAAGACTCCATTTTTGTGCCAGTGTCTCTCATGGGCATTGTCACATTAATCCCCAACACACTGGAGCAGGAGTGCAGTGATGACTGCCCTCTACCTGTCAGGGACAGAGGCTCAGGGACCGAGCAGCTTGCCTGAGGTCGAGAAGCTCCTAGGTATTGGAGCAGGTGTCTGGGGTCCCATCCAACACCAACCCCTTACCACATGCAGGGAGAGCAGCAGAGAGCAGGTTTGGAGCAGGAGCAGGATCAGGGTGCAGTGGGAGAAGTGGGCTGCGCTGCCCAAAGGGATGTCGTCTTTGTAAATTGCACTATTCTGGAATATTTAAAATGTGAAGTATTTGACTTTTTTAATCAGGGTTATTTTTGATTAACTTTGATGTTTAAAAGATGTCATTTGTGCTCATCTCTAAATTTTTGCACCCCTTTAAGTTTTGTACCCAAAGCCAGCACCTTCTCCCCCAGCCCCGACCCTGGCATGTGCCAAAGCTTGGCTGCCTGGGCTTCAATCCTGGCTGTGTTACTCTTAGTCTGGTTGCCATGGGGACATATCTTAGCTCCTCTGTCTCCCATCGTCTCGATGGTAATTAGGACAGGAACTATGGTACCTACCCTCAGCATGTTATTGTGAAGACGGAGTTAACATCACTTAGAATAGGGCCTGGGCAATCAGACAAGTCAATCTAAAGGCCCAACTCATCCCACTTTGGAGATGGTGGACCATGTTTGAAGAAACAGCCTATTGCAATAGTCAGCATTCCCTATGTATGATCAATTTCTTTTTGGACTGAATACCAGAAAGAAAAAAACCCAGTTTATTTCTCTTAGAATAGTCAGTGAAATTTATACAATTTATCATATTTCTATTTTTGCCTTAGCTTCCAGGAAGCTCAGGGCCAAATATCATGTTCCACCTTGGTAACTACTGCATCTCAAGCTGATACAGTTATCTTTTCTTTTCCTCAAAATACAGTCTTTATGTTCTCCAGTTATGCAATTACTAAGTTCATCAGTCTAGTGTTGTTTTTTTTTATGCTGAGTGAAATTTCTGTGCCAAGAGGACAGTCCCTGCTAGAGCTATATTTGTGCACAAGGCACACGTGGATCTGTCCTCTCCGGAAAGCAACTCAAGGAAGAAAGCACAAGCAACTGGAAAGTGTGGGGAAGGACTCGGCTGTGATGGACATGCGGGATCCTCTGAAAACTCACAGGAAGGGAAGGAGAGGCCAAGGGGAGTTTTCTGGAGGAGCAATGTCTGCACAAAACCCAGGGGCAGCAGGGATGGGGGAGAAGAGACCACTCCTTCAGGCACAGGAAGCAGGTACAAAGGCCTGGAGGTGAGAGCCCGCAAGTTTACTAGGCCCGACCGAGAAGACTCCTGGGGACACCACTTTTTACTCTACAACCAGCCTCAAGTCTTACTGTGGAGGATAAGTGAAAGGCATGAATGTACAGCAACCCTAAGTCAACCTCATCTTAGTCCTGTGATCTCAAGGCAGCCTTCTATCTCACTTCTGTTGCCCTCAATTTCCCCACTTGCAAAACAAAGAAAATAAAGATAACCCTCTGCATATGTACTTGGGTTATGGCACACATTCTCTGTGGCAATGTCTGTGGAGTGTTCTGACAATCGCAGAGAGAAGTTTAGGTCCCCACACAGTGGGGACACATGTTCACAGACCATGTCCCAGGTCAACTACAGATGTCGATGCTGCCTTAGGGAAATCACAGGGCTCTCAGTCTCTGTTCCCTTTCTGGAATGCTGACCAGTGTCTGCCACAGATTTCCGCCTTGTCTCTTCCGCCTAGCACCATCTAGGTCCAACTCCTCTTGGCCCTTCGTACAATGTCTACTGACTTCTGGACACAGTGGAGTCAGGGACACAGGAGGCCCCCCCCACCCAGGAGCCCTAACTCACTCTGCCCACATGGAGAACTGATAGCCCTGATTGGCGGGCACTCCCCCCGGAGCCCTCTGCAGAGGGAGGAGAAACGAGCCCTGCTAGGGGTGACTTGCCCTTGCTGGACACAGCTGAATCAACCTTTTGCTTTTAAAAGCATTGATTAAAATTATCTCATCAAGTTCAAACTGTCAAGACATGAGAGGCTACAGGGCATCATGCCTGCTTAAAAGGCAAACCCGGCGGGGAATTGGGCCGTAAACTACTGGTAGGGGCAGGAACAATGTCAAAGACCACTTGGGAAGAAGGGACCATTCTTCCAGCATGTCTTGTAGCCCTGGAGAGACGGGTGCCCACCAAGGGGTTCCACGGGAGGCAGGGGCGGTGCATCCCTAGCTGGCCTGGGCTGCCAGATACCTCACTCTGAAGGGGAGTGGTCATGAAAACCCAGCAAGGGGGCTATTTATGTTGGGCCAAGATGCGCCATGTCCATTTCCAGGCCTGGCACAAAGAGCCCCTTAGGCCCAGTCCATGAAAAATGGATTTGGTGAGCCCAGTGCTGAGGCAGCACCACCACTTCCAGCAAAAACATAAACTGGGATGGGGCAGGGGGGTGGGACCTGCGTGCCAAAGTTGGGGTTTGGTATTGAGGGGTGGCAGCCAAGAGCTGCAGCCAGTGACAGAAAACAGGGCTTGGAGCCCAGAGGCATTACTGAAGGAAAGCGGCCCCTGGCCAGCTGAGGGGCCCACCCTCTGGATCCCTTTCATGGCTCCTGTCATGTTCAGGCTTCATGGGAACCCTGGGCTACAGGCAAAGGGGTGAGGCCCCCTCAAGGGCCAGGATGCAAGGCCCTCAGTGCGAGGGGCCAGCCCAGGACCATCAGGGCAGTGAGCAGGCCTCAGAACCTTGGGTCACCCCAAGGCCCCCTTCTGTCCTCCAGAGCTCCACCGGTCTCATCCCTCTCTTGGCAGTGTGACGCCTTCTCCAACCTGCTCAGGCCTCGCAGCACACTGAGGCCGAAGGCTCTCCCATCTCTCAGGTGCACCCTGGATTTCACAGGGGGTCCTGCTCACTGGTGCAGACCATCTGCACCTCATTTGGAAAGGCTTCTTCCCCACAGGCCTCATGTTCCTCTCTGAGAACCAAGACTGGAGCTGGAAGTTATCTGATAATTGCTCCATCTTCCAGATGAGGAAACTGAGGCCCAGGGACTTTCCCAAGGCTGCATGTGACCAAGCAATGAGCCAGAGGAGGCTTCTGGGCATCTGGTCAGGCCCTCCCACTGCTCTAGGCAGGGTGGGGACACACAGCATTGGCAGATGGCCCTTTGGGCTATTCTAGGGAAGATTTCAAGAAAGTCAGGCTCAGGGGGCAAGTGGCATCCGGCCCAGGGCTCCCAACTCCTGGGCCAGGACTCCCACACACATGCCAGACAGAGCAGCCCACATGGAAAGGGAGTCATTCGAATCTAGGTCACTATGCAGGTCCTGGGCTTTCCTGAGCCAAGTCATCACTCAAGATTACAGCCCTGGGACGAAAAGGCCTCAGGTACACTGGTGCCTCTGCTAACACTGCATCTGTCTCTGCTTGATTCTTTCCCAAGGGACCTTCGGTGCAGTCAGGGTCAGGATGTCCAGACCTTGCAGGCCTTGGAGGGTGAAAGCTGGGGGAGGGTCTCTGACAGTGGGAGCTTTAGGCCTGGCCCCACTTGCACTGAATTTGCCCCTGCTGACTACCCAAACCTCCAGGGCCTTCCCTGGGGGATAAGGGAGCAGACTGCACATGCAGAAGGCTACAGGGAGCACAGGGGAGGTTCAGAGAGCATGTCACCAGGAGAAAAGGACTCAGCCTTTCTTTTGGCCTTCCAACCTGACTCACAGATGTCAAGCCCTTGTGGCTGGGACCTTCAGTCATGTGTCTCACACTGCTTCTCCTTGTCTTGTTTCCCTCTTGATTTTACAACAACCCACCTCAAGGTTGCCTTAAATCACCATGACTGTGGTGACTGCACCACCAGCCATAGTCACAAACAATGAACAGGAACACTGCTTGAAGCCTGTTGTTCTGGCACGCTGCACAATGCCCTGCTCCAGACACTGTTGTTATACATGTCTGACAAGTGGGGAAAGAGAGGGACAGAAGGGCTCAGTATGTTGCCTGAGGTCTTAGCCGTTCAGGGCCATAAACTGGATCCAAAGCCAGGCCTGATAGCCCTGAAGCAGGTCCTTGGTCCTAGAATGTGCCAGCCCCTCCTCCACACAGCCAGCATGTGGAGCCCTACTCACAGTTTCCAGAGCCTCTGGTTGACCCACACTCACTTTGGTCCATTCCGCCCACCACACTGCCAGCAGGGGGTGCACAGTTGTCCTCTAGCAGGGTCCTCTAGCAGCCCCAGGATGCTAGCCAGCAGAGTCTCCATCATCACTACCCAGCCCCCAACTCCACCCAGGAAGCCACTTCCTCTCCATCCTTCGGTTAGTCCTGGGACGCCCTCCATGGACAGAGTTCAGACCTCCGGAAGCAGCTGTTTGACTCTTGTGGCCACTGTCTAATGGCTGCCTCCGTTCCCTTTGACCCAGCCCAGACCAGCTCTGCTTTCTGCACACCCAGCTGCAGCTGCTTCCTGAGCCTTGTGTCCATGACCAGTCTGCACAGATGCAATGGAGAGACTGGGTCCCCTGCCCTAAACTCATGCCTCCCTGCTGCCCAGAGGCTGGCACAGGCTTCCTCCCAGCCTCCTCATCACACCCAGGGTAGGGATGACAGGGAGGACAACTCTAGCCCACCATTGTCTCTTGCATGATGAAATGAGAAAGCTTAACAATGCATAGGGCAGAAAAATAAATCATTGTTCATACCTGATGCACAGTGTGTTGGAGAAAAGTCACCAGCTCCTCATAGCACGTCACACTGTGGAGCATGAGCTGAGAAAAGACACACGCTGAGTGAGCTGCCATGCCCGGGATCCGGGACTGCATCCCACGTGGTGAGCCCCTGCAGCCTGAACCCCACTGACAATGTCCCTGGGCAGAGCACAGATTGTGTGGAGCAGAGGCACTAAGTACCACCTCACACCTGAAACAGCTTAGCTCAGCCTGCCCTGCAGCAGCCCTAGGCCCACCTGAGAGCCCCCAGGAGTCCCACATCATGTGACTAAGGCGTAGAATCCTGCATCCTGCATGGCCATACCAGAGGGCTGTACCCCATGGAGAGTCACCATGTCTGAGAAGGGGCTGGAGGCAGCTGGCACCATGTCCGAATCACACGAGCTAGGCTGGGTCAAAGCGCCACTGAGCTAATGAGAACAGTCCTGAGCTAATGAGAAGCGGCAGATCAGGTTCCCTGTGCTTTCTCAGGCAGGTCAAGAAAAAAATACTTTTGAATAAAAAAAAAAAATCAACCAAGCAATGCCATTAATTAATGGCCCGAGGTCACACACTCCCCAACCTACGACAAATAAATCAAAATGGTTAAAACAATTCTCAGTGAAGAGGTGGAAAGTTTTGAAAACTCCACTGCATCTACATTTTCAAAAATATAGAAATGTCCATTTCTCCTTTTGTATTACCAGGTCTGACTATGGCTGGAGCCCAGGCTATCAAAGTCCTTCCCCACTCTCTAAACTCCTCTCCTCCCTTCTTGCCCACCCACCCTCCCTTAAGAATCCTAGAGAAGATGCTAAAGGCTGGGACTAAGCCAAGGGCATCTCATAGACTGCTGGAGAAGCTCAGCCCTGTCATCCTCAAGGAGACGAAGAGCTGCTGGGCCTTTGGAGCACAAAGCAGCCCTGGCAGAAGTCCAGCTCCAAAGCCACCCACCTCTGCCCCCTCTGCAACCCCAGGGAGAGGACTGCAGGCCTGGGCTGCAGGGAGGGTGGCCCATCCCGGCTGGGGGTGGATTTACTTATATGAAAGGAGACAGTGCCCAAACAAAGCCAAAGCTTGCATGATAATTTTCCAGAAAGCCGTACTGTTTCTAAGACTCCATCTGCTTTGTATTTCCCTGTTGGACTGAACTGCTGTGTTCCAGAAGCCCTAAAAAGGAAAAGAAGGTGCATGAATCCTCTGCCAGGAGAAAAGCCTTGCCCTCCAGCCAGGGTAAAACCACATGTGTCATGAAAGGACAAATAAAAAGGTGGCTCCAGAGGAAAGCATGGAGCCAAGGGTTTCTTGTTTCCCCTGCTTTGAAGTCATCTGAAGCCTGGGTCTAGAAAACTCACTAGCAGGAAAAAAAGAATGGAAAACACAACGAAGAGGGTGAGCTTGGAACAAGCAAACCCAAGACCTGGCAGTAGGAAGACGTCTGACTTTTACCCACACTGGCAAATGTACGTCCAGACAAGGGAGCACTGGCTCAGCATCATTTTCACAGATGGAGGGGTCGGGGCCCCAGTTCTCTGAATCCTCCCCACTGTGACTCCTCCCATGGCTTTTCTGGGTGTGCAGCCCATTGTGGCACAGACTAGGAGTAGGGCCTGGGTTTGGGACCTGCTGAGCCACTAGCTGCTGAGTGGCCTTGGACCAGCCTCCTTCCCTCTCTGAGCTTTTATTTCTTAATCTTCAAAACAAAGAGAAACTCAATTCCTGCCCCATCTGCTCTTAGGCTGTGTCCACCCTAAGGGCTAGGGTTAATAAGTATGTGACCGATGCCATCCTAAACACATTTATTATTTATCATCTATTTATATTAATGAATGATTCAAGCTAAGTAACAGTATTACATTTATTACATATCATTTATTTATATTGACTCATTTAGTCCTCACAATCACCTCATTAAATAATCATTATCATCCTCACTTTCTAGACAGGTGAATAGATCAGGCAGTTGGCCAACACCACAAGCACTAAGCAATGGCTTCCAGAACTGGCCTCACTTAGTGACTCCAGGGGACCCAGTCTCAAATTGTTTTTTAAAAGTGGAGGGGTAGGGATGCAGCTTAATGCAAAGGCTCTGGATTCAATCCCCAGGACTGAAAAAAACATGCAGGCCTCAGAGAGCCGCTCCTCTTGGGCAATCTGCTGCAGTGACCCATGGGTCCCCCAGAATGTTAGCCATAAAGTTACCTCCTCCACTAAGGCTCAGCCACATGGCTGGGAAAAAGGGATGCTCCTCAGAGCACCATGAGCATGGAGCACCATGGGGCAGGAAGGAGGTGAGGGTCAGGGAGACAGAATGCAGGGCTGGCTGCACCCCAGTTGCTTCCCCCTCTGCATGGAATGGGGATCCAGGAGACAGGGCAGTTGTGAGCATGCTGTGAGGGTGGGGTGGGGTGGTGGAGCAGTACAACACGTTAAAGGGTACACCTGAGCATCAAAGCGTTCTCAGAGGGTTCCCTGGGGTTACTCTGGGGGCAGGACAGGACAGACAGGAACACATCTTCCAAGAGGAGAGCTGGAACCCAGGTCCCAGCACCGCCTCTCTCCTAGCCTGGGCTGCCTGGCACACGCAGCCCTTGTAGCTAAAGTCAGAAGAGCCCACAGCCAGTGCACCAGCAGCTGTGCCAGCAGAGGCTAAGCAGTGGTGACAGGGCCCTTGGAACCACTTACAGGGTGACCACAGCTCGCTTTCGGCTCCCAGCCCGCCAGAGGATATCTGCAATGGCCAGGGCCAGGCAGCGGGTGCGAAGGGCATCTGAAGGCTGCAGCTGCCTGCGGACAAGAAAGGAAACACATTTACACTTGTGGGGACCCTCAGCAGGGAAGACACAGTCCCTTGGAGTGTGTTCAGGTAGCCCACCTTCTCCCTTGGCCCTCAGGAGGTCACCTGCAGCCAGGGACTCCATGGCCGAGCCTGAAGAAGAAAGCACTCTCCTGAGGAGGCCAAGGGAGGAGACTCAGGGAAGCATGGAGGAGGCCACCCACCAGAGGAAGGGGACGCTGGAGGCTTGGCAGGCTGGAAGCGTGCTGACAAGGGTGATAGACTCCTGAGAGTCCCCAAGGTGGAGCCTGGTATGCCCTGAAACTGCCATCATTCCAGGCACAGCCTCAACCAGTCCTGACATCCAGGCCCTGGAGGCAACAGCTTAGGCAGGTGTACCTTGCTGCCACCACTACAGGGTGTGAGGGGACAGCAGCTTGGCTGGCTGGGTACTCAGATGCAGATACGGAGCGTGGGCAGAGGAAAAAGGACTCAAGGATGACCCCCGGGCCTTTTGGGGGCACGTGGTGGTGTCACCAATTGAGTCAAGGAGTGTGTGGCTGCAGGAGGCAGCTGGGGTGGGGATGAAGAGCTGCACCTCAGACTCAGAGCTTGAGGTGCACATAGGGAGGCCACAGGACCCATGGGAATCACAGGAGAGGGCTGGGGCTGGGCAAAGATTGCCCAGAGAGAGGATGGGAAAGCGCAGAGCAGCAGCTAGCCCAGGGGGAGCCTGCAGACCTCCGAGGTATCAGGGTCGAAAAGAGAGCAGGATGAGGACAGCAGGCAGAGACACAGTCAAGGAAGAAAAGAATTTTAAGAAGCGCAGGCAGGCAGCACTATCAAAAGTGGCAGAGAGCTGTCTTGCAATAAAAATGGTGAGTAAGAGGTTCTGGGTATATGGAGAGAATGACAGGGAGGAAGGGAAACTGCCAAATATAGATGTTTCTTTCCGTGTGACATTTCCAGGGCTCCTTAGAGCTGCACTTCTTGCCTTCCCCTGCATTCTGTGAATTTTTTTTCTAATTTTCAAAGCTAGACTGAGTGAGTCTTTTCTCTTTACAGACAAAAGGGCTTGATGAAGATCCTGCTGGGGGTCCAAGGAACGCAGAGGATTCCAGTTCGCCTGGATCCATTCTGAGACGTGTAAGGGAGAAAGAAAGCTCTCTGGGGGTACAGTGGTGCACGTCTGTCATCACAGCACTTGGGAGGCTGAGGTAGGAGGATCTTGTGTTGAGGGTTAGCTTTGGCTACACAGCAAGACTTTGTCTCAAAAAACCCAAAAAGGCAAAAAACAAAACAAACAAATGAAGAACACACACACACACACACACACACACACACGCATGCACGCACACACAAACGCAAACATGCACGCACACCCAAATACTGGAACTTATCCTTCCTTCCATGGCAGGAGAAAGGAAGAGGGAGACCAGGATACAGCCACCATGGTGAGGAGCAAGTGCTCACAGCCCAGGGATGAACATACAGCCAGGGATCTACACCCAGGCTGTTGTGGTCCCACTACTTTAAAATAAAAGGTCCCTCAGTTTCCCCATCCAGAAACTGGCATTGGAAGCTTGTCACGAGATGATGTTTGTTAGGCCCGTGGCCTGGGCCTGGCATGCAGTCAATGTCCAATCAGTGGCTCCTATCACTACTGTCTTTGTGGAAACCTCCAGTCCTCAGAAAGGCGCTCCCAACATCTGGTGTGAAACTGGTACCTTCCGACTCAATGAGACAAGAAGCAAGCACTCAAAGTTCTTAAGAAAACAAACCAGCACACTGCCTGACCCTCTCCAGGCTCAGGAAGCCATCCTGCTCTTCAGAGGAAATGGTTACCATCCTATTGCCCAACCAAACAACGCAAGCTTTTGGGAGCCTTGACCTGGGATACCACTAACTAGGAAAACATCGCTCAAGGTTTCAGGAGAGGCCATGCCAAGGACTATGGGGGCCTGGAATGCAGAGCTTGTTAGATGAAGGAGAAAGGACAGGGTGTTTATCTCGGGATTCAGAATCCACAAGTAAGTCTCTGTCACCCCCACAGCCCCTGTTCCATGCCCTGCCCCCCTCCAAGAGATGGCCATGTCCCATGCACTGGACAACCTGCTTCCTACACCCATGCTCCTCCGCCCCCATCCTCACCTGAGCTGTTACAGCCAGGCCTCCCCACCTGCCTTTCTACTTCTGACCACCTCCAGGCTCCAAAACAGAACCTGTGTGTGCAGGGTAGAAGGGTGTCTCCCCACAGCGCTCCCCGATTGAAACCTCTACCACCAGGAGGATGCCTAGATTGTGTACCCTGTTTAGGGCGCCTGTGTTGGAAAATCTGCATACATGGGGAGAGAGTACCCTACCAAACACCATGCTCTACCACCTACAGAAGCAGGAACGCCTTGGTTGGAAACCTCTCAGTGTATGACCAATAAGCTTTAAAAAGCCTATTTGTGATGAGTACTGATCACGTGTGAGGCACTGGTGATAAGCACTTTATATGTATCATTTTATCACATTGTGAAAACAATGCCATGAGGAAGACACTATTATACTGTTTAAGTGGGGAAACCGAGGCATGGATACAATTTATCCAAGGTCACACTGAGAAAGTAAAAACTGGGAAAAAAACATTGAGGAAGGAAGGAGAGCATGGGGAAGTAGAACCAACTCTCTAGGGCACTCAGTTTTAGGAACCAAAGTCCCTTTGCCCCTGAGTCCATCTTTCCAGCACTGTGTGACAAGATCAAGTGGACTGAGTTGCAGACTCTGCATCTCTCCAGCCGTTTCTGTGTAGCAACTCCCCAGTCTTCCCACCCCTCCCTGGACCTCCATCTTCCAGAGATGTGTTTTCAGAGGATACAGAGCGGCTGAGAAAGTGCAATGGTCAGGCAGTTGAGAAGCCTGGCCCCTCTCCCGACTCACAGGCTTGGGGGAGCCCTGTGTCCTCCCTGGTCTTTGCTTCCCTCCTGTGAATACAGGTGCTGAGTCAGATGCCCCTTGCCCTCATTCCAGACTGGCCATTCTGTCCTTTCACCTGCCTCAGAGGTGACAGGGCGGTGTGCACAAATGTGACTGCATGCTTGTCCCACAGAGACAACAGAGGAAGGAGGAAAGAATCACCCAGGCTCTGCCTTCACCAAATGCTTCAGCAGCAGCCTTCACCAGTGGCCCCTCAGTGACTGTGAAGGTTCCATATTGCCTAGGGTCAGACAAGACTCGGGCACCTGGCCAGGCTCTTAGAACAGGAGAAGTTTCTCTAAGAGTCCAATTCCTCCAAGGAAAAGTGTCCAGGGAGGGGGAGGGCGGGGAATATTACATCCTGCATTTGCCCAAGTGATTCAGAGCAAACAGGTGCTTCTGCTCTCAGCACTGTATCGCAATACAGCCTCTCCACTGAGTTTTGAGTACCCCAATTTCAGAAGGGAAGGGGGGGGTAACAGGATACCACCTCTGATCTTCCCTGTGCCCATCCAGCCAGCCCCTGAGGGCCCTTCCTGACCTAGGGCTCTGTTCGCCTACAGGGAGAATAAGAGCTCCTCTGCTCTGTCCAATAGCCAAGGGCATAAGCCCTCCTCAAGTGGAAAAACACTGTGGCCTGACTCCTGGCCCTGCCAGGCCAATGGAAGAGAGGCAGGCTGCCTGCCTGATGGAATGAGTACTAATGAAGCCAGACAGTCTTGCAGAAAAAACACTGCCCCTGCCAAGCAGCCTTCATTTCAGCACAACTTCCCTGCACTGCATCCTGCACTCTGCTTTCACAGAACACATCCCCTGGCCCAGGCCCCTAGATTCCATGTGCAGGAAAGAAAAGGCCAGCCTGGGGCTGTGAGCTGCAGATGTGTGGCGTGACAGGCTGGCTGGCAGCAGGGCATTGAGGTGTTCCTGCAGACAACAGGGGACTGCGCCTCCTGTTTTAAAAAGCCAGATCATTTCTGAAACCTTGGAATTTCAGAGCCAAAAGGAGTGCTGCAGTCTCATAGCAACCCAGTGCCCATGGTCTGCGCAGAAGCACTCACAACCCAACCCATCGACGTAAATGATGTTCAGGTCAGTCCACAGACACTGAGGAGCTGGGTGGAAGTGGTCCGTGCACACCCACTCCAGCTGTATGTGCCCTTTGCTCATATCTCTGTACTCTTTTGTGCCAAACTTTTCTAAATTAGGGCAAAGAAGTGGCTCTGAAGGGGAGCTGTTTCTAAACAGAGCTGCCCTCAGTCTAGAGGGTGAGAGTTCAGAGGGTGCCCAGTGAATGGCTCTTTCAAACACACAACCATCTAAGGCCCAGCAGCATGGTGTGACAAACAGGGTGTCAGGTGCCAGTCTCAGCTCTGCCATGGTGCCAGCCCCTTTCTCACTAGCCCTTTCCCCTCCCTCCACTTCCAGTCTGTTGTGAGGTGAGCAGCCTTCCTGTCACACCTTTCCTCCGTGGCAATGGAACCAACCAACCATGGACTGAAATCTCTGAAAACATGAGCCAAAATAAACCTTTCTTCCTGTAAATCAATATTCTCAGGTATTTGGTCACAGTGACAAAAAGCTGACTACACAGGGATGTAAAAGCCCCTTATATCCGTTAGTAGGGTGGCCTGGTAGGTAATAAGGAGCCAGGCCAGCCTTGTGCTCCTGGCAGGATCAGCCCTTAATGGAAACAATGTAAACACTACATCCTGATTGTTGGGAAACCATCCACAACTTTCCACAAAAGTCCAAAGCTGAAGTTCAAAAGCAATTCTTCAGCTGTGGGCTAAAATGAGTTACGAGACATCTCTCATAAGGGCCAAGCTTGCTCAGAGGAGCTGGTGGTCCTGAAAGGCCTGAGGCCCTTCTGGTAGCCTGGCCGTACCTCACCTCCAGGCCCCAGGTCACACCTGCCCCTCCAAATGCAGCCTTGGCCACCCCTAGCACCACTCCACTCTCCCCCCTGCCCTCAGGCCTCTGCACATTTTGTTCTCTTTACTAGAATACTATTCTATCTCCCCTCCTTGTTTGTCTGGATAGCTCATTCATTTGTCCATACATTCATTCAACAAAAATTCTGAGGGCCTCTCCAGTGGACCAAGGATCCAGCTGGCTGCCAGCAACATGGCTGTGGAACAGGCATCCTGGAAAGGACCTTTTCTCATGGAGCTTGTGTTCTGTAGGGAGAGGGGCAGACATGGACATGAGTCCACTGAAGAACAAGTGCAGCATGGCGGGGAGAGGCAGGGCCAGGTGTATCTTCCCTGGGAAATGAGGGAAGGGCTCCATGAAGATGTGTGCTAAGAGGAGCTATCATTAGGCAGACTCTGAGGGTATTATCTGGGAAGAGGAAAAAGAATATGGGAGGAACAAGTGTGTGCAAAGATGTGCATGAAGGGGAATCAGGGCTCTGTTCCTTCTTTGGATAGCAGTGAGGTTAAAATGCCCTCTCCAGGAAGCCTGCCCTCGATGGCCTTCATGGCTGGGTGTGGGTGAACCCTTGGCAGTCTGCATGTCACCCCCTGTCCTGTTCAGTCATAACTGCCACATCTGTCTTGTTCAGCCCCATAGGCATGCCAAGCACCCAGGAACGCACACCCTGCATGCTTCTTGTGCATGCATGTTACGAAGGGAGGGAGGGAGGGAGACGTTTATGTGGTCAGAGTCTGTGCACCCTCTGAGGGCAGCCAGGGGCTCTTCACCTAGCACGCGCCACTCCGTCAAGAGTGCTCCTGGGCACCAAGCGTGCTGGCCTCACCAGGAGTCAAGGGCGGGGTCTCTGCCCGCAACATTAAAGTCAAACCTCTATCACTACCCCGGGCCAGCCTTCCAGAGGATGCGGAGGTGTGACCCTGAATAGAAGAAAGTGACCCTGGACAGACCCAGGGCAGGAAGCAAAGCAACAAGAGAGGACAAGGTGAGATTGAGGTACGGAAATGTCACCCTGCTGGTCTTATGGGGAGCATCTTTTGGTCTATCCATAACCTGATTATTATCTTATAAAACGATTTTAAAAATCATGCCAAAAAGGAAAAACTACCTTTGCTCAGATCCTGTCTAAAGCAAAATCATGTACACTAGGAAGTGTCCTATTGAAAACCAAGCTTGGCTGGTACCACCCCCATCCCTGTCCTATTTCCAGAGAATAGCATCTCCATACTGAGCTGGCCTTGCTGTCTTAACGACATCTGGGCATATTTTAAAGGTTTCAAAATACTAATTTTAAACAACAAGTAAGTGCCTTTTAATAAAGTTCAGGAACTGGCAAAACTCAGCTATGGATTTAGAACCTGTTTAGCTATAACTTTAGGAAAGGGGACAAGCAAGGGACTCTCCTAAGTTCTGGGAATATTTTCTCTCTTGTCCTGGGTGATGTGTTCATGGATATGCAATTTTTGTAATATTTCAACTAAAAAGAAAAAAACGAGTGCCAGAGGTTCTATAGCTCTAAGGATGACTGGGTACATGGGCATGCAAGGAGGAAAAAGAAAGAAGCCTGCCTCCTTGGGAAGGCCTTGCTGGCCTGCAGCACCTCCCCACATTTTATCTTGGCACCAACCACACTGGGGTTACATCTTTCTCTGGGTCGCCGGACCTCTCAGAGCGTCTCTGGGAAGGAGAGAATGTATCTGATTTTTCCTGCTTCCCTGCTCTCTTCACAGAGACGTTGTAGGAGCATGCGCTGCCCACAGACACTTAAGGTGTGAAGTGGAAAATACGTGGCTGCCTGGAGAGGAAGCAATGTGCTGGAATGCAGGGTTCAGGCTTGTTGGCAGAGGGGCACTAATGTGGAAAGGAGGGGAGACCTATCCTGGGCCAGAGGCTCAGCAGGCCAACATGGGTGTGGAAGGCATCACAGCTGCTATGCAGCCTTCTGACAGGGCAGTGGGCTCAGTTTCGATGCTTCCGGCAGCCGTTAACTAAGACTACAGTGCCCACCAGCCCTCCCTGTTCCCAGAAAGGAAGGTAGGTGTTTCCACTGTGCACAGGTCAGCACTGGCCCTGATGGCTGGCGCTGTGACCTCTCCCATCTTGACCTCCAGGAGATGGGAAACATCAGGGAACACACACACTTCCCTGCTTGTTTGTTCTGGACACTCCGCAGCTGCCTCTGGAAAGGCGCGTACTAGCAGAGCTAGCATGGACTTACACAGCACAGTTGGCTCCACTCTCGCCTCCAAACAGGAGCTTCTGCAGCACACAGCCTTGGATGGCCGCCAGCACCCCACAGGGGCCACCCTGCAGAGAGCAACTCGTGTCAGCACCAGCGCCAAGGGTGGGACAGAGCCTTAGTCCCAGGTTACAGGGCACAAGCCCTGCTGCGCTACTTCTTCACCAATGGGGTCTTGGCATAGTGACTATCTACAGTACATTGGCCCTGAGTCATGAAGAAGGAAGGGGTGACAAGGCCCCAGTGCCCATCCCTAAAGGAAGGGGTGAGTCTGCAAGGCCTCATGGGAGGAAAGTGACTACTCACAACCAGTCACATGTAAAGCCAGCAACAATAGCACAGATCCCACCATAGGGAAATGTTTCAGTGTGTACAGGCTGAGTATCAATCATGTACCCAGCCCCGACACCCATCCTACCGGCCTTCTCCAGGAAGCCTTCTCTGACTCTCAGCTGGCAGTGAACCCGTTCAGCAGCATCTGCTGTGGGAGCTCTCTCCTAACCGCCCTGGGGGCCACCTCAGCACCGCACTAGGTATGTCTTTGTCCGCTCTCACACTGTAACACAAGAGATCCTGGAAGAGCCCATCCCTGCACATAACAGGCTTGGCAGAGGGCCTGGTCCCTAGGACACATCAGCAAACATCAGTGGAGCTGAACAGCACCAACTCCAGTCTAGCAGGCCAGAGGTGCCCCTGAAGTAGGGTGCAGGGAGAGGGGCTGAGCGTGGCCATGTGAAGCAGTGGCTGAAGCCAGTGTCTTGGTGCTATTCCTTGGGCAGCATGAGGTAGGAGGAGGCCGGGGAGCCCAAGGAATGGAAAGTGCTTGAGCTGCCCTGTGCCATGGGGTGATCCTTGGACCCAGGGGTAGAGTATCTTTGGGCCTTCCCGCATGTGTCTTGGGAACTATGCCCAAGCCATGTGCAAAGCCTGCCACCTCTGCTTGTCTTTCTTGCTTCTCTTCCACCCTCTTCACTGTACACTGACACCTCAGCCTTCCCCTGTAGCCTCTAGACTTCTCCCAGCCTCCCCAGTGCCTGCCTAGCATGCTCCTTCTCCTGCTTTACCTACACAATCTGGGCCCTTCTCAAGGCTCAGCCTGAGGGCCCCTCCAGCGCCCTAAGCACACTAGGAGCTGCCTTCTGTTCCCCCTAGCCAGGCATCCTACACATGCAGCACCTACAGCAAGTGGGTGTTCCAACAGAATGTCCCCAAAGCAGAGGGTCTCCATCCCCAGCCACACAAAGAAAGTCTGCCCCTTGACTCAGCAAACATGAGGCTGGCCAGCCCTGGAGAGCCACAGTGAGCGGGCACCCCACCTCCAAGCACACAGGCAACCTGCCTTGCTCTGCACGATGCCGTATCTCAATGAGGGTATGTCACTAAAGGAAAAGCTCTGAAGCCTCCATTCCTCATTGAAGCAGCAAAAGGTAGAACCAAACAGAAGGGTCTTGATTTCCTGTGGAAAGAAGAGCATGTTATTGGTTGTTTTCAAAGCAAACAACAGTACCACGCTCGGCATGCACATCCCTTCAGGGTTTGGTCTTGAGTTGTAGCAGGGCAGTGTGTTTTCTGGCAGGGTCATCTCTTTACTTTTTATCTGAAAGCCCATGATTATTATATCTGAAGAAGAGAAATCTTGAAGATTTGAAGGCCTTACCTCTGGAACGTCTGAAAACCAAACCAGTCTGGGCTAACAAGAGCCAAAATTTTGTAGGTTCCTTATGCAGACCTTGAAACGTGAGACTTTAGTTTTCCAAAGGATCTTAGCAGTCCTCTGATCCTCCATAGGAGAGACTAGAAGCTCTCAAACCTGACCTCACATTAGAATCACCTAGGGAGCTCTTAAAAATAATTCTGATACTCAGGTCACCAGCCAGGCCAATTAAATTCCAATTCCTTAGAGTGAGATTCCCGTATCATTAGTTTCATGTTTTGGGTTTTTTGCAATGTTAAGAGGAGCTAATCCAGGACTTTGCACATGCTAGGCAAGTGCTAGCATCAAGCTATTATATGTCCAGCCCCAGTAACAGGAGTTTAAAAATTGAGTTATTTCACTTTGCAGCCAGGTTTGAGGCCCAGAGTTCTGGTACAAGGCTGACAAGTAAGGACCCATGAATGAAATCCAGCCCTTACTTATTTTTTAAATAAAGTTTTATCAGCACAGGGCAATGTCCATTTATTTATATATTGTCTATGGCTGCTTCTACATTACAACAACAAAGAGTATTTGCAACAGAGACCCAGGGCAAGCAAAACTGAAAATATGCTGCTTAGCCCCTAACAGAAAAAGAATTCCCTCTGTGACACAACCTGTGAGTGACTCTCCATGAACTCTGCTGAGATACCCTGCCTCCTCAGAGCAGCCCCTCCATTTTCTCAGAGCTGTCTTCTCTAGACCTCCGGATGATATTGCCCTCACTATTCATCTCCCATCAGCCCACGCACCACCATTCAGGGCCCCAGGATCAGTGAAGCCCTCCCCACCAGCAAGCCCCCGGGCAGGGAGGCAGGACCTCTCCCCGTGCTCCACTTCATGAGCCAGCCCTCTCTGCACCATGATTTTACATCCACGGGGACTCTGAAGCCTCAAGTGAGCCCCAGGACCAACAGGTTCTTCTGTAGCCCCCTCCCTTGGTTCCCTCTCACGTCAGGCCTTTCCTACTGCTTCCCATTACTCTCCACCAGAATCAGTTCTCTTTTTGTTTTCCTTAAGTATAAGGAAATCTCTCTATGTCAGAAGTGTTTGTGTCATCAAAGTGTGGGCCAGTGGCACATTGGAGGTGTGAATTCATCTGACAGCTCAGCTCCTCCTCTTGTGCCAAATGCAGTCATTCCTGTGTTTGAACTGCATTCCCCTGAGAGCCTAGAACTACAGAGATTTGGATTTGCTGGCCCTACTCCATCTCTATTATCCTAGCCACAAACTAACAACTAACTGGCTAGGTGCAGTGCAGGGGACAGCCTGGAAGTCTGGGCTCTACTTTCCCCTTCTTCTCTCTGCCAGCCTCACTGTTTCTGGATGCTTTTGTGAATGCTTTTGCTGATCCATCTTTAGGGCTAACAGGAATACCCTTTATAAAGAAGCCCAGCCTTGTGGCCACAATGGCTAAAATGAGTGAGTGCCTCCAGATTTTGGTCCCCTTGAATGTGGGTTAAAAGGGGAAAGGAAAGGAGAAGGAAAAAGAAGAGGGAGAAGGGGAAGGAAAGGACAAAGCCTCTAGAAAAGTCCTGTACTTGTTGATCTGTGTGCCAAGTAAATACACATTAGGTGAAAAGAGGAGGCTGACTATGTCCACAAGAGTTTCCATGCTTTCTCCTGGATCCTGGTTGAGAGGCCAGGGGTGGACAGCAGAAATGACACTCCACCCTGCAGGAATCTCTGGGCAAGGGCAGAGCAAGGCCATCCTGGGAGCTGAGAGCAGTGGAGAATCCCAGACACCCCTAGAGAACAGGCTGCTAAGGCCAGGAACCTCCTCCCTACATCCTGTGACCATGGGTCCCTTTGGGGGCTACAGGTGCAAACCTGGGTAATGTTGAACACCTGTTAACCTCCCTGTCCTTCCCTTGCTGCACTGGGCCCAAGTCCAGCACAGGAGCCACTGCAGGAGCACAGCCAGTCTCACAGGGACCAAAGTCCCATTGTCATCACACTTTGCACAGTGCCTGGTAGGAATGTGATGAACCAGCTCTGAGCCACAAAAAGAACTGGGTCCTTGCCAGGCACAATGGTACATGCCTGAGCATACAGAAGGCTGAGGCAGAGGATCACACGTTCAAGGCCAGACTGGACTACAGAGCAAGACTCAAAAAAAAAGAAGAAAAAGAAAAAAGTGTTTGGATGAGGAGAATACACCCTCCTCTCTCACCCCCTTAGTCTTGGGGAGGGAAAGAAAGTTGCCAGGACCAGAACGGTTCTCCTGTCCTTTGGCTGAGCTTTCTTTGACATTACACCCAAATTTTCAATTCAACAATGACCAAGAGATTACAAGGAGATGGACTGGGCCAAAAATGCCAAAATCATGCCATCCACATGACCACTTTTTTTTTGTTTTGTACCTGGGATCAAACTCAGGACCTTGCACTTGCCAGGCAGGCACGGTGCCACTGAGCTACATCCTGGAGCCCACCTGAGCAGGTATTTAACATGGAATTCTCCTTCTACTTCTGAGGTAACACCTACCTTGGCTGCTGAGAGGTCAATTGGCTTTGACACTATCTGCAGCTTGAGCATTGATGGAGCTGGGGCCAGGATGATGTCTTCCGTTATTAACTCATCCTCCACGTCCTCTGGAAGAAAACCGTGACCAGGTTAGACTCATGGAGAATGGAACAGGAAGTCATTAACACCACAGACACTGGCAAGTTCAGAGGCAGCTTCAGCAAAAGAAGCCTCCTCCCACCTCCACCCCAGCCTTTCCTCTGGGGCCCAGTGTGCTTCACCAGAAGGAAAGAAAGCAGGTCAAGAAGTTCCTTATGATGACCCTTCTCCTCTTATGTCACAGGGATGCTGATAGCTAGGATTTACTACTGGGCCACTAGAAAGTGCCATATGAATTAAGTGTTAGGACCCAGGTGCAGAAAGGCCTGGCTCAGAGACACTTCTGACAAAGGGGCATGGTGCATAGGTCTGTCACCGAGGCCATGCATGAAGAAGACAGAATTAGGAAAGAAAATGTGCCCACTTCTGAAAAAATAATAACAATAGTAGCTCACATTTACTGATCACTTGGATTGCTTTACCCAACCCCTCAATAGCCCTATGAGAATTTTTTTTCTTTTTCCTCTTTTTGGCAGTGCTGAGGATAGGACCCAGGGCCTCATACATGCTACACAAGTGCTCTACCTCTGAGCTACAGCCACATCCCTGGAGAGTCTCTGTATCACCCAAATTGACAGATGAGTACATTGAGGTGCAGGGGAGCACAGTGGCTGGCCCCAAGTCAGCCAAACAGAAAGTGGCAGAGATGGGCTGAGTGCTAATCTCTCTGCCATCCTGCCTCTCCTTGGCAGCCAACGGGGATGCTAAGTCATTTTCCAGATACCACCCTTCTATAGTTGGGCAACTGAGGCCCAGAGAGGTTCCACTGGAGTCTTTGGTAGCACTGGCCCTCAATTTCCTAGCTGGCCTAGGCCCTCCCCATTCTCCCACCCTGGCATTTACCAGAACATTCAGAAAAAGGACCTAAGGGAGACAATTTCAAGGCAAAAGTACAGCCTTGAAACTCCAGAGGCCCTTAAGCTGTAGCTTCCCCAGAGGAGGTTCCAGAGTGGGCCTGCTTGGGACGAGTGATGTCAACATCCTCAGGACACACAGCTCATATCTTACTCTACACCCTCCTTTTCTCTCCTAGGAAAGATCCAGCCATAGCACAAGGTAAACTAGGGACTCAGGCCAATGAATTAGGAGAGTGATTTACCTTTAGGCTGAAGAAAAGTCTGGAATTTAAATAAAAGGCTGAATTTAAATGAGAATCTTTCTTGGTTAGAAACCCTGCAAAAGCTACCCTGTGACCTAGCTTTACAAAAATAACTGAAAATAAAGACCAGATGTTCACCCAGCAACAAGAATGGATCTTAAAAACAAGGCACTAAGTAGAGAAAGTAAGAAATCAAATGAGGTGTATAACACAATACTGTTTACATTAGGTCAAAATACATGCAAACAAACAATACTACATGTGTGGAAGGACATCTGCAGGCAAAAGGACTCATCTTAAAATTATGAGAATGGCTGATTATATAGGAAGAAGGTCCAGGGAATGTGGGGGCTGAAGGGAAATAAGGAAGGGAAGGAAGAGGGAGGAAGAGACAGGCTTTGCAAAGATCCACACTGATAGAACTGGCTGAGAAGAGCAGAGATGCAGGATTAATTCCACCTGGGCCCCAAACTAAGGGTTGCAGTAACCTGAGATTCTACCAGGCCCCAAGCAGCATTTTCTGGAGGCACAGGCGGGACAGTATTTAAGCCTATTCAAAGGTCTCTCTTTAGTCTCATATTGTCAGAGAGGGAGCAGGATCTGCCCAACCCCACAAAGTGAGCCCCAGTGGAGGCCAGGAGCCCAGGAAGCATAGGAAGGAGAGCTTCCAGGTACAGGCAGCCTTCCTGGGCTTCCTGGGGAAGAACTGGCTTAGTGCAGGAAGCTGGCTTAGGACCACAGAGCAGGCCTCGGGCCCAGATGTGGTGAGACCGCCATGCAAGGGAAAAACAGAATGCTCCAGAATGACATGTTGGCCAAGAAGAAAAAACCATCTGCAAATGCCAGTGGTTTGAGAATGCTATTTTTAAGGTACTCGTATAAATGTCTGGTTGAAAAGAAACAAGCAGAAAGAGAGAGAGAGCATTTCATTTCAAGCAGGAGTCCACAAGGAGAATGGCCTAATAGCTGTTTTTCCACATGAGCTATTTGAATATTATATCTTTATGAGTGGGTCAGTATTTCCCACTAACCCCAAAATGTCTTCAGCACTTCTCCAGGCTTCCACTTTGATAAAAGCCTTTCCCTCCACCCATCTTTCTGGGCCATCCCAGGCTGCAAACTCAGTCCTCTCCCACCCGAATGCTGCTGTACCCTCAGGCTTATGCTGCCTCCAGAATGTCTCATATCTGCCCCCCCCCACTGGTGTGGCATTATTTTTCTATTCCCTTATCAAGTGCTTTATTGAGCACCCTTGACTGATGTACCAGGGTTGACATGGAGCAGAAAAAGTCGAAAGACAATGAAGGCCTTCAAAGAGCTCCCTGCCCAGAGAAGGAGACAGAGTCCCTGACAAATTATAATACAATAAGTGAGTGCAGAAATAGGAAGCAGTGCAAAGGTCTCAGCAGCAATGAATTCTGCCATACAAGGTCAGGGAAGCGTTCTATAGAGGTGGTATTTGAGCAGGCCCCTGAAATATTCAAAGCACAGGGCCTTATCATTGCTTCTCTGGACTATCCCAAGGCCCCCTCACAGCCTCCGATGTCCAGGCTCTTACCCTAAAACCCCCCTACGCCAGTCCTGGGTGCATCACCCCGGTGCAGATCTTCAGGGCCCCTTACTGCCCGCAGCTCACCGTCCAACCCTCTCATGCAGCACGCCCAGGCCACTGCCAGCCCCGCCCTTGCCCCAGCCTCATACCCCTGGCTCCTCACTTCCTGCAGGCTGCACTCCTCCAGCCAATCTGCCTCTCTCACTCCAGGCCTTTGCCTATGCCTTTCCTTCCACATCTCTGTTTGGCAAGACCTTGCCTATCCCTCGAAGACCAGGCTAAATGCCACCTTGCTATGGAAACTTCCAGAAACCACCAGAGAACTTAGCAGCCACTCTCTCAAAGCAGTTGGGCACACTAGTCGTATGCTTCGTGTGTTGCCATGGAAGAACACCCTCTCTCCTTTGTCCCCCAGATCTGCCCTCCTTCACTCATCTGCTATGTCTCAGAGCATTTCCTATGCCTGGTGGGGACCCACTGACAAAAGTCACTGAACCAAACCACAGGAACCTGGATTAGGAGGGGAGGGGTGCGGCCCCTCTAACCAAACTGATGCCTGTTGCTGCATCACTTCTGTGTCCCCTTTCCCCCAAGACTACTCTTTGCTCTTCCCTCTTCCCTAAACTCTTGGTGACTGTGTGCCCTGGGCTCTTACCCTTTATCTCTTTTTCCTTTTCTAAATAGTTAGCTGAGCTACCAAATCACCACACACACATACACACACACACACACACTTCAAATAGTTGGCTTCTGAGAATTGCTAAAAGCCTTCCTTTTAATAGAAGTTCTCTAGGTTCTGAAGGCTGGGAACTGCCTTACTTTCTGCCCAAACATGAATGGCTTTCATCGGAAGTCTTCAAGTGCAGAGCCTCCCAGAAACCTTTGGATGTCAGGGCTCCCTGGCTCCATCCTTTACTCTGCAGTCATGGATAGAAACCTGCCCTTCCTGGGTAGGGCCAGATCGCCCTACCAGCCATTTCTCCTGATTAAGACTCAGAGGCTCTGTTACCACTGAAGTGAGTTAAGCAGCATAAACAATCCCCATCTCTGCTGTTCAGAGCCCTGGCCCTTGCTCTCAACTTGATCAAAGCAGACCATGGGGCCTCACATCTCATACAAGGTACTTCCAAGGGGGCACTGCTTTCTTCCTGCAGCATAAAAAGGAACGTTTACAGGGGGGGAAGAAAAGTATGTGAACAGCTCTCATATGCCAGCAGGTAAGTGGCTATCTTCCAAAAGAGGAGCAAATGTCAACAGTGCTCAAGTCTATCCTCTCATGTCCCACCCCTGGCCCAGCATCCTCAGTTCTACACCTGCATTTGCCAAGCTCTTGGTCTTTGAGCAGCAGAGATTTGCAGGTAGGAACAAAAACTACTTCAAAATTAAAGAGTGAAATGGAATGTTCTCTATCTTGGTCTTAGAGAGTAGCTCCTCAGATGTATCCATATGACACATTTGTATTTTACACCTTGATAATGTTTGTAAACTTTCAAAAAGGATAGACCTCCCTGGAAGAGATACACTGGTATTTTGACCTAGAACTGTCTTCTGAAAACCTCCACAGTGTCTGAATGGTCCTTAAAAAACTGCAAATGCAGAGAGAGTTCCTCTGGTCCCCTAGTGTGCATCCTGAAATGACCAGACTGCTTAGAAGCACTTCTCCAGGAGAAAAAGACAGGCAGTGGGAAAATACATCGACAGAAAACAGAAGCCTGCCCCTGCTTCCTGAGGTCAAGGAGGAGGAAAAGAGCCCCCCATCCCAGCTAAGAGAAAGTGCCCACCACTCACTTTCTCCTAGAGGGGGCAGCTGAGGGGACCCTGCAGGCACAACACAGAGGCACTGGCTATACCTACCGAGCCGCAGGGCACCCAGCTCATCATCCACCTTGTCAGACGCTGGCAATTGACTCTTTCTGGAAAAGAGAAAATGTCAGTCAGCCAGAGGAGCATGACAGAGGAACACAAGCAGCAGACAAGACTGGGAGGGGCCCTGAATGAGAGTCTGGAGGTGGTACTGCTGGACCCTGCCATGCAGAATGTGTCTTGGATAAGTGGCCCTCTCTCAGCCAGGGCTTCACATAGGAAGAGAACAAATGGTCTCCAAGGGACCTGTCAGTGCTGCACCCTCACAAGGAAGCCAAACACCAGCCACTGTTGGACACTGAACTCTGTAGTCTGACACCTGTCAGTCACTGAATGCCAATTATTTCACTGGTGTCACTGCTGTAATGCTGGGAGACACTTACAAAGAGGTCAAGTTCTTGTGGTCATTGCACAAGATGTTTTCATTTCGTCTCCAAGAGTTTTTTTCTTTGCTTATTTCCCCTCTCCCAGCCTCCCTGTAAAACCATCAGCAACTATTTATAAGAGCCCTCTAAAATGCACCTGTATGTTTAAAGGAACCAGTCCTGTATCTTCCCATTATCTGAAAAGTTGCCCTGTGATTCTGATTTGCAAATTCAGGTGTGTGCACACAGAACTCACTTAAAGTGGCCCCCTTAGCCTCTTTTTCTCCTCCAGCATGCATCAATCTAATCTAAAGGAAAATCACTTTCTGAAAACCACTTATTAAAAATAATAATATTACATCACTCTCTGGAAACCCATTTACTATGTTAAAAACTGACAGCTCTTTTGAATGTGGCATTGAAATATATTTTCCTCCAACATACTTGCAGGGTAAGATAGGACTGGAGCAACAATTGCAGTCTTGCCACGGTGCACTCCATTGAATTAGTTTCCTCCCGCAAGATGTATGAAGGGTGTGAGTGGAAGACTGTGGGGGGACGTGCAGTACTCAACCCACGTGCAATCACATGCTGCTTTGCACTCAGTTGCTCTGCTGGCTCCAGAACAGCAAGCTCCTCTGCCTCCCTCCTAGGCAGCTCCACCTCCCCGGTCCTTCCCACTCCACAGAGAATTTCCTCCACCTGAGTCTGACCCCTCCAGGATTCTACAGGTGTGCTCATGGGAAATGGTGCAAGAATGAGCTGAAAAGGAGTCATAGCTCAGAGGATGGGGAGAAGGATGTGGAAGGGCAGCCAATCGGAGCACCCCACTGGGAAGGGATGAATTACACTTTCCTCCGAAGCCTCTGCCAGGCCACACCTGCCCTGCTCCACCTGCTCTGCCCAGAGGATAAGGACCTGCGCTCCCCTCTCTCTTCTCTATCAGAAAAATGAGGGTGGAGGTACTGGGGGGTGGTAGATGGCCTCTACAATCTATCATCAGCCATGTCAGGCAGGGGCAAAAACAGATTGCAAACACTTATGTTCATCAGCATCTTTCCTGAACCCTCTTCCGCTCTCAGGCTCCTCATTTCACACATACATTATTTCAGTAGCCTCTAGTGCTTTCCCGATTTCCAGTATGGCCACCCTTCGGCACCCCACACCTTCACATGTCACCTTTCTACAGAGCAAGTCTGATCATGACTCTGACGCCTGGTGGCAAGTCTTCAAATGTTCCCTGTCATCCCCACTATCACCATCATCGGCAACAATAATCATATTTATAAAAATGACAACAGTAATTACAACAAATTCCCTCTGGCTCCTTTGACCATTCCAGGTACTGTGCAGAGTGCCCTGCAAGCCTTAAATGTCATCTGCTTCTCAGAACACCTTTAGGAAGCAGTTATTTCACTGAGTCTCAGAGAGGTTTAGAAATTTTTCCAGGGTAATACAGCAAGTAAATGTCAGCACAGAAATTTAAACAGCAGCCATAACTCCAAAGATAATGGCAGCAACCACAACACATACAGATTCCTTATCAAAGAAAAGCCAGGCTCATTCGAGTGTCCTATAGGACTCCCCCTGAGCTGGACACCCACCATTCAGGCTTATCTCACTCTAGGCCCTTGTGTTCCATCTGCATTTCCTGTGCCGAACACCTCAGCCTAAGGAACCTCTAACTTTTCATAAGCTGCTCGCTCCATTTACAGTATCCTTTGACAAACTCATACTAATCCTCCAAAACCTAACCAAAACCTTCCTTCCCCCTCAACTTCAAAGTCTGCCTTTATTCATTTCCTCACTCACTCACCTAGCACCTGTGTGGGGTTATCTAGTAGGCTTCACTCCTGTGCAAAGGACGATTATATGTATATAATAAACAAACATAAAATCCATGACATGAGGTGGTAAACTGGCCCACAAAGATATCTATATCCTAGACCCCAGAGCCCACAAATGTCACCTTATATAGCAAAGGATTTTTGCAAATGGGATTTAGTTGAAGATCTTGAGAAGGAGAGATTCTCCTGGATTCTCCAAGTAAGACCTAGTCACAGGGTCCTTATGAGAGGAAAGCAGAAGGACACAGATGAGGAGGAAATGTGGTAACAAAAGCAGACTGGAGTGGAGCGCTCTGCAGATGGAGGAAGACCCACAGCCAAGGATACAGTGGGCATGACAGGATGAGAAAGATGAGGAAACAGACTCTCCCCCAAGCCACCAGAGAGACCAGCCCTGGAAACCTCCTGTCTTTAGCCCAGTGGAACTGATTCTGATTTCAGACTTCAGCCCTCTAGAACTGTGAGATAATAAATTCATGTTGTTTTAAGCCACTGACTTTGGTAATACTGGACCTACCAGAATACCAAAGAGAAAGAGAAAAGTCTTAGGGAAAAGGTAGATTACCTACAAACAGCAAAGGAAAAGTGACACACCTGGCAAGAGTGGTAACTAAGGGCAAAGAGAGGACCACGGGGTTCTCCTAATCTGTCATGCCCCGGGTGTGCAGCCTAGTGCTCCATAAACAGGTGCTGAATGCCAGAGTGACTCTCACAGAAGCTAAGTGACCTACACAGGGTCACACAACTTAGACGTGCCAGAGCCAGGACTAAGACACAGGCCACTGGCTTCAAATGCTGTACTTTGATCTTTTTTAAAATTTATACATCCTTCTCCTGTCCTGAAACCTCCATGGCTCCCTGGGAGCCAGGACAAAGGCCAGTCCTTCTGAGTGTTCCCAGCACCTCCTGAGGGCAATTTGGTGGCTGTCAGCCACAGTGACAGGGTGGGGATGATGTGCCCACTGAGCAGGGAACAGCCAGTCCTCTCCCTGGTCATGGGACTTCCACCCGGGGGACCATCCATCAGCTGTAGGAGCAGCTTAGATGCTTTGTACCCATTTCCCATCAATGTCCTCACCAAAGGAGACTTCAAGCAGGGTCACATGTCGAGAATGTGCTCATTGTTCCTTTCATGTGTCCCTTTGTGACATAGCATTGCAAAGTTTAAAAGGTCAGCTTAAAAACATGTTCTTGCCTTTGAGTGAAAACTATTATGAACAATAATGATAAAAAGATAAATCAAGGGATTCAAAATGCTTTTTCAAAGTATGAACCGAGAGACGTGTGAAAGTGTGCATCTGATGAATCCATGGGGTCGAGCAGTAGACATCCAGCGTACCTGCTCTGAGTGAGACCTCTACCTTGCACTCCAGCTTCTCTCCACACCCCACAGGGAAAGCAAGGACCAGGGCACTGTATTCAGGGCTGTGAAGGACCAGGACTCAACCTCTAAGCAGCTGATTCCCTGGCTCAATCAGCAGAAAGAGTCACTGGGAGACCTTGTCCCTGCTCTTCCCTATACCCTGTGGCCTTGGGGAAGTCATGCAGTCTCTGTGAGCAGCCAGTTCCTCTCTACACTGTTGTAGGAGCCTCGGTATTTCTACTCCGATGGCACATGACCAGTAAGGGGCTCTGAAGGTCTTCTGGAAGTTACCGTAATGTCTGAATTTAACTTTCAAAAGCATCATCAAAATGTGCGTGTATATTAATACAATTAATACTTACTGGGGAGGAGAAGAGAAGAGAAAAAACAAATCTGACAAAATCTTAGCAATGGCTCAATTTAGGTGAAGGATGTACAAATGTCCATTATGCCATTCTTCCAACTTTTCTGCAGGACTGAGCTTTTTTAAAGTTAAGAATTTAGATTGGATTCAATGGAGAGGTAATTAACTCTAAGGAGGTATCTGGTGAGACCACAAAATTTTAAATAAGTAGAATAAATAATTCTGAAAACTAATAAAAGACTAATAGCAGAGACTAATTTTTTAAATTCTGGAAAAACTGACAAAGACAGAAGGAAAGAATATGATATACAATATTAAGAATAAAAGAGAGGGATAAGACTAAATTTTATAAATAGAATTCTTTCAGCAAGCAGAAAGCAATACAAGTGAGCTCAAAGTAATACGTTTGAAAATTGACAGACTAAACTATTTTGTGGAAAGGTCACAAAACTGACTCAAGAGCGAACAGAAGAGGACCAGCCAACCCTGGGTGTGGGACTGAGTGTGACTTCTGTGTGTCCCCAAGAGGAGGAAGGTGGCGAAGGGAGGACAGCCCGAGTGGGTGGAGGGAGGGGAAGGGCAGGAGGAGGAGAAGGTGGGAGGAGGGCCAAGTGGGAGGGTGGCAGCTCTCTCCGGACGATGGGGGCAGCAAGATGCGGCGGATGACCCTGTTCCTCAATGGCAGCCCCCAAGTATGGCAAGGTGGTTGCTATATATGGGACTTTATCTGATTTGTTCTCTGTGGCCAGCAGTAAACTCGGGATAAAAGCCACCAGCATGTACAATGGGAAGGGCAGACTGACTGATGACATTGCTCTGATCAGGATTGATGATGTTTGTGTGTGAAGGAGAGCCACTTATTGATCCTCAGACAGATTCTAAACCACCTGAAGGATTGTTAGGATCTCACAAAGACTGGCTAACATGAAATGTTGGAGGGCAGTACTTTACAACTACACGCATTACTCCTACCAGGTTATAGCATGCATCTTTTTGAAAGAACAGCTGAAATCAAGTATACTCTTGACTTAAATATGTTTGTTTGTAAAGACACATGGAGAAATCAAGTTTTTTCCCTGAATTCTTAGGAGCACTTTAGTGAATAAAGAAC